ATAGATAGATAGATAGATAGATAGATAGATAGATAGATAGATAGATAGATAGATAAAATGGGATTCGCCAAGTCCTGCTTTAGAAAGATTTAAAAGAAATATATTTGGTTAAGTTAGGGTATCCTCGTCTGTCAGTTGAATGCCTCATCCCACTGAGCCAGGGTTGGCGAGGCTGCCTACAAAAGGGGCCAAACAGAATAATGTTGGCGGAGGCGTAACGCATTTTCAAGTAAACGAAAATGAAGAAATAAAACACGAAGCGTTGCTGTTTCAGGTTGCAACAAGATTATCAAACTGGACGGGATCAACAGAGCAGAAACAGTCAAGACGCCACGATCTAGTTCGGGGCGAGATCCCAACAGAAGGTGTTTTTACTCTTTCCAGGTTTGTTTCAGTATTTATGACTCCCGGCTTTTCACCCAGAGCCGGCGGACAGAACAAGACCTGCAACCTCTATCATCACCTTCCTCGCAATCGTATTCCTCGTGCTGTCGTCATCGTCCACTTTCTCCTCCTCTACCTCCTCCTTCTCCTTATCACCCCTTCTTCTCCTCATCCTCTTTCTTCCCCTCGTCCTTCTCTTCCTCGTTATCTTACCCCCACCCCTCCTCCTCCTTTTCCTCATCACCATTTTCAAACCACTTTTTCCTACGTGCCTCTTCCTTTGACACAGATCTCTAACTCACATCTACAAACAAGAATTATTTTTTTCTCCCTACCACCCCACCTCCCTTCTAGGAAACGAAATTTTAATAATCGACAAGCAATCGAAACAAATAGACTGTGGGGTTAGCCTATAAAAAGCCATACATGCTTCTGTCCGGAAGTCAAATTCTTGCAACACGAATTTTATCAATACTTCTTAAATTTATTCGTATTCACTGGTTTATAAAACAACAACAATAAAAAACAAAAAAAACAACAAAAAAACAAAACAAAACAAAACAAAAACGAGAAAAAAATCGTGTGCAAAGAGACGTATCCTTACTTGCTTCTAATATCTTTTCTGCCTTCTGTGATCCTACTTTGTTCATTTATATACCATATACATAAATGCATCCACACTCCCCCCCCCCCCCCCCCACACGCACACACATACACACACAAATGCATATACATGCACACACAAGCACACACACAAGCACACACACACACACACACACACACATACACACAGAGAAACACACACAGACAAACACCCGCATATATGTATGTATATATATATATATATATATATATATATATATATATAATATATATATATATACTTCATTTTACATACATGTGGAGAAAATTATGGTGGTGGACGGAGGGCGCCACTTGTTGTTTCTGTCTGCTTTGCTTATCCCTCGCCATTAATAATCGCCATTTTGTCCATGCGATTCCCATGCCGGGAGATTCTTTTAAATTGAGAATACTTTTCGGCCCGGGTCGGTTCCGACAGTAAGGGTTGAAACAGCCTATCTCCTACTTTTAACGATGAGGGTGTAGGGTCGGTTTCACGATGCTCGCAACTGCATTAGGTCATATGAGCGCGGTGGACACATTAAACATTTTCAGTTGCTATGAAAATTTGAATTTTGGGTGGCGGCCGAAGCCTACTCCTATTGGTGGTGCAGGGTTTGTGTGGAAATAACATTTTTGTTCCCAGGTGCCCAAGAATGCCCGGATTCGTGTGACGTTCCATGAAGTAGACATGCATGAGAAGGACCTGCTCTATGTTAAGCGGTTCCATGAGTGGCAGGCACCTCATCTGTAAGTATGCCGAAGCTTTTTACAATAGGACTGATGAAATGTATAAGATCACAAGTATAAAAAAGATAAACAGCATTATAAACGATCAGTCACATCCCTTGCTTTCCACACCAATTGTAAGATCACGCAGCGGCAGATACGTACCAGTATGAACAAAGAAAGAAAGATGTAAAAGAAGTTTCTTACCCTGTAGCATAATAAGACAACTGTCGGAATGAACATCAATGTGTATTGCTGTTTTGAATATTTATTCATGTATCTGTTTAACACTAAAGGTCTGTGATAAATTCCTGCATGTGGTTGACTGATGCATCTGATGTGATATGTGCATTATTGTCAGCTCTACTTTTCTCTTCGGATTGAATTTTATTGAGAGCCATATTATATTATATATTATAATTTAATTTCTGTGTACACCAGCATGTATTTATACTGCTCCTGTACAGCCAAGAACCACCCCCCCCCCCCTTCCGGGAAAATAAAGTATTATCTTATCCTATCGCATCTCTTAATTCAAGCAGAAGCAAATTTCTCAAAAGAGCAACTACTTGCCAAAAGTTATACAGTGGAGTTCACTTAAGGCGAGTCCTGAAACAACGAGAAGTCTGTTATAAAGACACTATTCTAAAACCCCGTTGTTTTTTATTCTTTATCTTTGTAAATAAAGTACTGCTATTGCGCGATCAGACCGTCATGCGAGTCGGTTATAACGTAATATTGATGCTGCTGTGCACAGCGCACAGACCAATTAAACATTATAAAACCTCGCCAGTTGAGAAAGTTGTCGGTGATCCAGCGAAACAAAGAATGGGAGAGCCCACACGAACCAACATTGAAGGTCGGAGCAACTGAGTAGAGAGGGTGTGTGGGATGCGCAGACACAAGCAGAACGCATCGCGTGATAGGCCAGCCCAGTCTAGATTATGCATAGATCTACCGTGCCTCTCACTTCTCTGGTGCGGGATGGAGAGGTCACAATGCTGTGATAGTGATAGATGGATGGAGTGAATGTGTGACGTGCACGAGCAGATGCAACGCATCACAGTGTGTGGTGGGGTGGGGGACGACACATCGGGCGATTTAGCCTAGAGCCAGAGCTCCTTCTTTCTGATCATCAACGCCGATTTGTCAACATTGCTAGTGCTAGAGAAAGAAACCTGATTCGAATTTTTATAAAGTACGACATTGAGATCATGTTGAACAAATCATCATCAGGGGAAATACAAAAAGGAATAAACAGAACGCCAAACTCATAGATTAGGCCTACTTTACTATTTCCCTTGAATTTATTACTGGATCCCTTGTAACGAGAATCCTGCTATAACGGACATATTGCACCTGTCCCCTCCCTCTCGTTATAACAGGATTCCACTGTACATGTATGGAAACATGAGGATCTCAGTCAGGGTAACAGAGTCTGAGGAGTAGCCTGTAGGTGCTTCGTGGTTTCATGCAGGAGACTCGAGTTCAGTTCCCAAGTGGGGAGAAACTTTTTATTGAATATTTTGGTCTTTCTAAGTGATATTTATCCCTCTCAGCCAGGGTTGAACTTGAAAGGCAGGGTCCTAAGCCCGCCTCCTAAGTGATCTAAATTTTGTCTACCACGATGTTTCTGGTTTAGGGCCTGTCACTGGCCAAATATTTTATGGGTGTATTTTGCGTGACTGGGGGCGGGGGTTGGGGGGGGGGGGG